ACAACACATTCTAAAAAGATTAAGGCCCTGCCAAATACGTGAAGTCCCAGATTTTTGTTGATGCTGTGAAATTTGCAGCCAATTTCAAAATAATTTCAATTTGTTTAAGTTAAATATCAAAAACATTCTTAAAGAGGATTTAAAAATTACATTATACAAATTAAATGCAGACATGTCATTTGCACATAAAATGAAGATTTAAATAAAAAATGCAAAGCGCTCACATACAGTAACATAATGTTTATTAAAATGACATCATACAGTGCACGGCATATAGATTCATATGATCACAACTGATCATTTCTTTTCCTTCCAGTGACTTGAATCAGTCAACGTTTGTTTATAAAAATAGAGAGGCTACATAATTCAAAAGAAAAGGCAAGAGCACTTCAGAAACATGGAATACATATATGATGTGCTTAATATACAAAAATATACATTTAATAAATAGGAAAAAGGAACAGTTTTGGTGTATTTGTGGCTATTATGTGGGGCAGTCAACCCTGTCAGGCCTGGACAACTGTCAACATTTCTTAGATCAAATGCATCTTGTTTTACTTCTTGGCTGGCTCATGCGTAAACTAAAGTCATTTCTTGCCTCATTATTTTCTCAAAATGCAGACGAAACAATCTTTGAGTTGCTTTGAGGGTGACGAGAAATAAAACAAAAGTGGCAGAATCGTTTGTTGATTTTTCTCTTTTACCAAACAAAACTGAATTGAAAGAAGTGACAAAAAAAACAACACAACAAAATTGAATTAGCAGAATCGTTTGTTGATTTTGCTCTTTTACCAAACAATACTGAATCAAAGGGAGGCAAAGCCTTTAAAGTGACCTGTGCCAGACAAAATAACCCAAGAAATGAAAGAAAGGTAGACATTTAAAGAGCTGTTTGTAAGTATATATAATGACAATTACAAATATTTACAGTAATAATTTCATCTTGATTCAGCAGAGAGAGGATTTGGTCCCATTTTTTTGTTAAAGCAATTCAGACTGATTTTCGGTTGCAACAGACAAATCTAAAAGTTTTGCTTTCGGAACTGAAGCAAAGAGGATTAGCATAGCTACAAAACTGCTCTGGTGCAACCTAATTCACAGTACAACCAAACAAACGGCTAAATAACCTAGTTACTAAGTGGAATTTCAAGAGTAATACTGATAAACCAAATAAACCGTAACATGTTTTGAGTGGAATCTTTCTCCAAAAGAAGAGTCTCTTTGGTGGACAACTAGCCAAACATTTTAACTAAGTGCAAGTAATTTTTAGATAGACTGGAACTGATTACTTGCATAACTATGTTGCATGGAGGCTTGATCGTTTTTATGGATTAAAGACGCAGGAAAGATTGTCTAGCCAGATCTCAGATGACCTGTAATGTGTCTTGAGTGGTACCCAAAGTGATTGTTTTGTTTTAAAACTGCACAGCAGCAACATTTTTAAGATGTGGTTTCTTGCAGGATGTGTTTCTGGATTTGCGTGGGGTGAAGGTTACTAGTCCGAATATTCGGGAAAGGTTTTGTCTCTACCGTTCCAGTTTTCCCTGGCAGATTCCGTGCCAGATCCCAGCAGAGGTGGATTTTGACGTGTCTTTACTCGGTGCTCTGTTTGAACGAACTTCCGTGCATCTTCAACTTGTGCAATCTGCCAGTGTAAAGTGCACAGGGTTTAGTCAAACAAAACTCACCACAACAAATAAAACAGGAACATAATAACTGAGCAGGGAAGGTCACTTTTATGGAGCCGTGCCAACAGCTGGGGCAGATGGCAGATAGAAATTTACCTCTGGTTTTTGCGGCTCGACTGGGTTTCTTTCTCTTTCACGAAGACGGCGGCCTCACCTCCACGGGAAAGGTAGGAAAATTCACCTTCTTTGGCACTGAAGATGATCCTAGATCAAAAACAAACACATACATTCTGAATTTTGCACAAGTTTTAAAGGTATAAAAAGTACAAAATAAAAATGTGATGCAATAAAAATGCACATCAATAGTAATAAAGATAAAACTGTGTATTCATTATGGCAAAATAATATATAAAAATAATATTACATATAATTATATAACATAATAATTATATATAAAAAAAATGTGTCAAAATATGTTTCTCTGCTTACTTAGACTGTCTTTCTCCTGATTTGATGCGTAGTTTGCGGATGTGGAAGGTATCGGGGTTCCACCATGGCCAGCTGATGAGGGTGTCTTTCTCCCAGAGAAGTTTTACCATCAGCAGCTCTCCGATGTCTGTGTCCGTGGTCAGCAGGAAAGACATGGTGGTGTTCGTGTTCAAAGCAGGCCTGTGGATTAAAAAACCATCTCTATCACTTTCTCTGTTATCTCAGTTCAGGACGGAGTCCAATCTGAGGCAAAACATGGTCTAAAATAGTTGCATGGCCTGTTTTTTGGTACCATAAAAAAATCACTGAAACCAAAGAAAGTCCAAGATCTTTCTTGGTAAATATCTTAACATTGCATTTGTAGTTAATTTAGAGCTAGTGTGAACTAAGTCCTGACATATCAATCAGGAAATGCTGCTAACTTACATAATGTAGGGGATATTTTCCTTCTCGCCATGGATTCCGTACAGTGAGATCTTCATGGGCTGATCAGTGTAGCTTAATTTTGTCTTGCCGAAGAAGTGGACCTTTACTTGATAATG